GTGTTGGACCTGGAATCGGACGAGGACGGGGGTGGGTGTGTCAAACGCGTCATAGGTGTATCTGACCGCGTCATTGTTGTAGCAGCTTTAGTTTGTTGTCACGTGGGAGGGTGGCAGAAATAAATTTTAAAAATGCCAAATCAATCTGAAAACCACTTTGGCGACATATGCAAGGCCCACACATCTCTCTTAGAAGGTTGAAAGCTCTGAAAAGTTGACTTTAGATGAGATGGGCCCTTTAATATCTTCTACAGCATTCATCACAGAGGGACAGTTTTAAAATACAAAGTACACCGGCTGTGCGGGAAGGTCAATATTAAACCTCTGTCTCTGAAATTGCACTTTCCACAGTCCTTCAAAGATGAACTTACATTTGAAGAGTAGAATTTTCAAGCAGTTTCAAGCTCCCAGAAATCTGTGATAAACCAAAAGCAAATGTGTAAAAGTCTATATTCTACAAGTACATTTGCCAAATATTAACCCTTAAAAATTTGAAGGACCGACCTTAAATAGTTTTTTAGATACAGCAATCTGAAAGTGGCTCATTGAAAAACTCTGCGCAAAGGGGAGAGTTGACAACATATTTTTTTAATGGCGAAACTTTAAGGAGTTGGGAGCTAAAGTTTGGGACTTGTGTGTGAACCTCCTTGAAATTTTCAGTCAAATCTGAGATGGTCGAGCGAGGACATTTGGAGATGTGGCGTGGAATGATCCTATTATTAGTCTGTCAACATCTCCAAACCTCAAAATGCTCTGTTCCACCTTTTGATGTAATGTAGAGGTAGTTTTCAAATGAATAGCTACCTTTTATCTTTGGTTCTGTAGAGAGCAAGTCCTGGGGTTGAAATCACCCAAATGATTCTAGTGAAGGTGTCTGGAGTTTACAGAAGAACTAAATATTCAGGATTTGTGTGTTAAAATGTGTGAATGAAACAAAACACAACTCCAGGTCTGTTTGTGACGAGGAAACAACATTATAACATAAATCAGGAAACAGCGTAATATGGGCCCTTTAAGTTATAGCTATAAATTAGGCTTTCACTCCTCATGTTTTATCTCTTTCATTATTAGACTTTGAAGCCTCTGCAGGGCCTCCACAGTGTTTAAGTCACTCTAAGCTTTAGCAGTAGCAATTAGCCACAATCTCTGTCTGCCTCCCGTCGCAAATGAGAGAAAAATCCTTTGTGCTGCTTGACGCAATTACATTACGATATTGCAAAATTCAGACTAAGTTTTATTGCCGTTGTCAGGGAACAAAATTCACAAACTGGAAATTTGGCAATATGATTCAACATAAAACAATCAATAATCATAATTAATAATAGAAAATATGTTGCCTGGGATCCAGAACAGACACTTCCAGGTTTCAGACATTCTATCACAACATTCTATCGACTAGAACCCTTCCCCTTGCCCAAAATCCCACACCTACCCTACACAGGCCTTTGAAGTAAATGCATTTTTTGTTTTCCTGGCAATGATGAGTTTCAACAACTGATAATGTATTTTTTTAATATTCTATTTTCTTTTTTTTTTTTTTTAGTACATTGATAAATCATTTTTGCTAATAATTTCCAACTTCATGCAGGCTTTTAACATCACTGAACATCAGTAGGACACCAGGACCAAACCAGGACTAAACCAGGTTTAAACCAGGTCTAAACCAGGACCAAACCAGGACTAAACCAGGTTTAAACCAGGTCTAAACCAGGACCAAACCAGGACTAAACCAGGTTTAAACCAGGTCTACACCAGGTCTAAACCAGGACTAAACCAGGTCTAAACCAGATCTAAACCAGGACTAAACCAGGTCTAAACCAGGTCTAAACCAGGTCTAAACCAGGACTAAACCAGGTCTAAACCAGGTCTAAACCAGGAAACGGTCTAAACCAGGTTTAAACCAGGTCTAAACCAGGTCTAAACCAGGTAAACCAGGTCTAAACTAAACCAGGTCTAAACCAGGACCAAACCAGGACTAAACCAGGTTTAAACCAGGTCTAAACCAGGACTAAACCAGGTCTAAACCAGGTCTAAACCAGGTCTAAACCAGGTCTAAACCAGGTCTAAACCAGGACCAAACCAGGTCTAAACCAGGTCTAAACCAGGACTAAACCAGGTCTAAAGAAAGACTTAACCAGGACTAAACCAGGACTAATCTTGGACTTGGGAGAGAGAGAATCAGGTGACAGCTGCGCAGAACCCTGTGGGGTGCAGAGCTCTAAACCGGTCCTTTCTCCTGCTGCACCTGACAGTTTACTCAGGTGCACCTCCGGGCCCATCCCAACTCTCAGTCCTGGTTCAGTCCTGGTTTAGTCCAGATTTACTCTTGTTTTAGTCCTGGGTCAGTCCTGGTTTAGTCCTGATTTAGTCCTGGTTTAGTCCTGATTTAGTCCTGGTTTAGTCCTGATTTAGACCTGTTTTAGTCCTGGTTCAGTCCTGGTTTACTCCTCCTGGTTCAGTCCCCAGTGTGGTGTCCCCAGGGGAGATGGGCTTTACCTAAGGGTACCAAAAGAAAAAAATAAATAAAAAGCTTCTATAGATCAATATTATTTAATACAAATGGGGGCAGCTAAAATTAATATTGTTAAAATGCATTTTTGTTGTAATTCAGTGAGTTCTTGGGCCTAGTCACAAATAAAAATGATCACGCACATTTGTTCATTTCATGCCAAAGTATAATGTAATCAGGAAAACTGGCTCTTGCTGAAAACCACTGATGCATATGGATGTTTACAAGAGAAAAAATACCACGAGTGACTGAAAAACATTGCTGAATCAATGGACAAAGATTTAATCTCTGTTAATCTGAAATTAATCTCTGTTAATCTGAGACATATGATGTCATGATTGCACACAATCACGTTTGGTCGGGTCGAGACAAAACAAAGGCCGTGGGAACTCGACTGATATCCATCTGTTTAAAAAATACAGAGTGATAAGAGTCTGGATTTGCCAGGTAATAAAATAAAGGTATGCAAACAATAAAGTGTTTGATAGAAATGTACTTTGACTGAATACAAGGACGAACTTCAATATGAACAGAACAATAGTGCAAAACAAGCAGTACTGAATTTCATCCCAGTATATAAAAGTTTGGACACAAGTTTCCACACAATGTTTTTTTTTTCTTTCTTTATTTTTTACTACTCCCTGTATTTTATATATACACACAAGACATCAAATATATGAAGCAAGATATCTGGGATTATGTACAGGGTTCACGCGGAGATTTTAATAAATTTTAAGAGCATTGAATTCAAAAATATGGAAATAATACCATAAAAAGTCTCGGAAAAGTCTTGAATTTGTATATCTGGGTCTTAAAATTTGTGCAGAATGAAACTTCTCTGTATCGCGTTTCTCCTCAAAAATTAATTTGTCATACACCATTATTTGGTTAAATAATGTAGCAGAACCAATTATTGAGAACGCAACGCTCCTCTGGGTCAAAATACTCTGAACACGTCACTGAAGATCGCACGCTACAGCATCACAAGCAACAACTAAGCAGAAGTGTGTAAAATCAAAGAAAATCTCAGCAGAACACAAAGTTTGACTAACGCTGTTATATTGTTTTTTAACATTGGTTTTACATTACCGAGCTGCTGGGGTTATGAGAAAGAGTCTCTCTGCTTCCCATATTTCTTTGTTTGAGAAATAAATGAACACAAATTCAGGAATTTAGTTTTTATTTGGTGGTAGGTCTATGAAATAGGTATTACATTTTTATATCAATGGTCTTAAAAGGAATTCTGTATGTAACAAAGAAAAAAAAGTTAAAAGTAAAGGGTATATACTTTGATGATATAAATATAAAATATTTTTAAAAAGTTTAGATTTCATAGAGTCATTTAACAGCTCCATAATCTGGTGTTTGAGTTTGTGATGAAATGGTTCATTCCCTCAGAGTGTTTCCTCTGAAGGTCTGAAGGCCACATTTGCTGCCACGTAGGTGTAAAAAAACCCGTGTATCATTTGTTCATTCTTTTTTTCAATATAAAACCAAAAATAAAAAAAATTAAAAAGCAACTGTTTTCTTCATTATTTGTCTCCAAAACCAAAACGAAAAAACGGATAATGATTCAGGTTTTTCAGTTTTGTGTTTAAATGAATAATGAGAAAAAACAGATAACGGCCATTTCCCGTTTCCGTGACTTAAACAGGGATGCCGGACTGAACCAGAACTGAACCAAGACTAAACCAGGTCCAGGACCAGACCGGAACCAAATCGGGACTGAGGCCAGGACCGAGATCAGGACCAGACCAGGACCAGACCAGAGACAGACCGGGACTGAGACCAGGACCAGATCATGACTGAGACCAGGACTGAGACCTGGACCAGACCATGACTGAGACCAGGACTGAGACCGGGACCAGACCGGAGCCAGACCGGAGCCAGATCGGGACCGGGACCAGACCAGGACCAGAACGGGACCAAGACCAGAGCCAGACCGGGACTGAGACCGGGCCCAGACCAGGAAGAGACTGGAGCCAGACTGGGACTCAGACCGGAACCAGACCAGGACTGAGACTGGAACTTGACCAGGACTGGTTCAGTCATGGTTTAAGTCATGGAAATGTGAAATGGCTGTTATCCGTTTTTCCCATTATTCATTTAAACACAAAATTGAAAACTGAAAAAATGAATCATTATCTGTTTTTTTCATTTTGGTTTTGGAGACAAATAATGAAGAAAACAGCTGGGTTTTTTTTAACATTGAAAAATGAATGACACACAGATTTAAAAAGCCTGTAGCATCTTAAATGTTCATAGGCTCCTCGCACAGTCTCCATGCAAACAGGAAAAACAAACCGCTTATTTCACACAATCCAACGGTCTCTTACTTAAAAAAGTGTGTCCAAACGTTTGACTGGTAGTTTATATCACGATCACCAGCGTTATGATACATGACCCGACCCGCGTTGCCAGATTTGCATGTAATATCCCTCCTGCTCAGTCCTCTCTCTCTGTGACTCAGCCTGTATCTTGTGTGTTCCAGATGAGTCGACTTTGAAGATGAACAGCGTGGAGCACATCCCCCAGACCTTGGCCAGTCACATCCGTCTCCCCGAGCAGTCTGCGCCTCCGAGCTCCCAGCACGGGGCTGACATGCTCAAGCCAGACCCACGGGACACCTTCTATAGCAGTAAATCTGACACTCATCATTTCGGCATGTTCCCCCACCCCCCCCCCCGCCTCTGTCCCCTTTTCCTCCTCCCCCGTCTGCTCTAAGCTTCTGATTGACTGGCTGGCTGGTCCTCTGGCTCACGGTCTTATTTGGCTGTCAGTTTTGCTATATTAAGTCTATCATTTTGCCTGACTGGCTGTGTTCCATTGCACCCTCTTCTTATTCGGTCTGTTGAATCAGGAAACAGATATGTTCTTTTGTACGTCAACATTTCGTTATGTTGCTGTTTTATTTATGTGTCTAGTATATGCTTAAATCATCAATTGAATAGAGCTGCTGCCATGTTGTCAATCATCGTTTAAATGTTTAAATATCACGCAAAATTTACTCTTGTGAGCTTTACGGCGTCTTAAAATGTTGTCACTTCATCAAAAAAGACCCGGAGTTGTGTTTTGTTACATTCACACATGTCTGAGAATTGTAATCTTTTATTATTTTCTGTGTACATCTCCAGAGATCAAAATGTTGTTCCACCTTCTCATGTTATAAAGCTGTAGTTTTCAAATTGACAGCTCCTTTTACCTTTTGTTCAGTAGGCAAGGCAAGTTTATTTATATAGCACAATTCATACACAAAGAATTAAAAGTGCTTTACAGAATAAAAAATACGTTAAAATCACAATACAAACATAAATAATCATCATAAAATGTAAAAAAGAGACATTAAATGCGAGAGAAGAGTGCAGAATGAAGCCCTAACAGCGAAACAGAACATTTTTGAGCCTGGATTTAAACACAGTCAGAGCAGAGGCCTGTCTGACATCTTCAAGAGGACTGTTCCAGGTTTTAGCCGCATAAAACTGAAACGCTGACTCTTCGTGTTTAGTCCTGACTCTGGGCACCAGCAGGAGGCCGCGACTAAACCAGAACTAAACCAGGGCTACATCAGGACTACAGCAGGAGGCCGGTCCCTGGGGTCCTCAGAGTGCAAGATGGTTCATGTGGCACTAACATGTCAGAGATGTGCTTCAGTGCGGAGCCATGGAGAGACTTGTACACGAGCAGAGACACTTTAAAATCTATTTTCTGAGCTACAGGATCCAGAGCAGAGACCTGAGCACGTGGTTCAAGTCAGGACCCGAGCAGCAGCGTTCTGGATGTACTGCAGCTGTAGATATTGGCAATTCTACTCCTGAAATTATCCAAATCATTCTAGTCCAAAGGTGTATAGAGTTTAAAAGCACAATGGAGCACTTCCTGTATTACCACATGACATCACAAGGTGGAGCAGAGTGTTTTCTGTTTGAGAGAAGAACTCAGCCTAAATATGTTTGTGTGTTCAACATGTGTGAATGAAACAAACACAACTCCAGGTCTGTTTGTGACGAGGAAACAACATTATAACACAGATCAGGAAATAGTGAAAGTCAGTTTTTTATGGTCAGACTGTGTTAAAAAGTAAAACTCAGATTAAGATCTTTAACTTTAACAGAGTTTTAGACAGAGCAGTGCCTCCATTTAGCTTCATATTTATGTTGATAGCAAAGTATCAATACATCTCAACCAAGTAGAGAACAGATATTTTAAAACATACCATTATTAACTTTATTTTTTTATATTCTTACACTTCCCTTTTGTATATAATGAGTAATACTGCGTTCAGACCGAGGCGTCTTTTTTCAGGTTTTCAGGCGTCAGTTTGGTGCAAAACTGGCGTCTTGTGCATTCAGGCATCGACGCTCTAGACTCTCGTCCAGAGCATCGGCGTCGTAAGTTGAAAATGCTTAACTTTTGGCATCGGACATGCCGCGTCAACCAATCAGGGACGAGTATCCAGTGACGAAGCGACGTTATTATCCGGAAAAAAGAGAAAGGTTCGGGAATTTGGGCCGAGAGCCAGAAACACCAGAACAAGAAATCCAAACCGTGTCATTAGCAGATTATAAATATACACACCACAGCTGCCAAGCCCATCGCCAGGACTGGACCAGGACTAAACCAGGACTAAACCAGGACTAAACCAGGACTAAACCAGGACTGAACCAGGACTGAACCAGGACTGAACCAGGACTGAACCAGGACTGAACCAGGACTGGACCAGGACTAAACCAGGACTGGGCCAGGATTGAACCAGGACTGAACCAGGACTAAACCAGGACTAAACCAGGACTGGACAAGGACTGAACCAGGACTGGACCAGGACTAAACCAGGACTAAACCAGGACTGGGCCAGGACTGAACCAGGACTGAACCAGGACTAAACCAGGACTAAACCAGGACTGAACCAGGACTGAACCAGGACTGAACCAGGATTGAACCAGGACTAAACCAGGATTGAACCAGGACTGAACCAGGACTAAACCAGGACTAAACCAGGACTGGACCAGGACTGAACCAGGACTGAACCAGGACTGAACCAGGATTGAACCAGGATTGAACCAGAACTTAACCAGGACTAAACCAGGACTGGACCAGGACTGAACCAGGATTGAACCAGGATTGAACCAGAAAGAACCAGGATTGAACCAGGACTAAACCAGGACTACACCAGGACTAAACCAGGACTGGACCAGGACTAAACCGGGACTGGACTAGAACTGGACCAGGACTAAACTGGGACTAAACCAGGATTACACCAAGACTGGACCAGAACTAAACTGAGGATAAACCAGGACTGAACCAGGACTGGACCAAGACTGAACCAGGACTGAACCAGGACCGAACCACAACTGGACCAGGACTAAACCAGGATTGAACCAGGACTACACTAAAACTGGACTGGGAATAAACTAGGACTTAACCAGGACTAAACCAGGACGAAACCAGAACTGTACCAGGATTGAACCGTGACTGAACCAGGACTAAACCAGGACTGGACCAGGACTAAACCAGCATGAAGTATATTTCTCTTGTTCATCCGTGGCGTCCAAGATGTGCTTCGAGGGCGTCTAAACTCAAATCCAAAGGCGTCCAGCGCGTTTTTTTGTCACCCCAGTCTGAATGCATCATAAATCTTTAACTCGGTCTGACTAAACTCATCTTGTCCTGTTTTAGTTCCTATGATTGACCCTGCCCGTCTGGAGAACGTGCTGCCGGCCTGTCTCTACTCCCCGACCTACGTGGTTAAAGACTTCCCCATCGCACGATATCAGGGTCTGCAGTTTGTAAGTACCACTAATCCTCTCCATCCTCACAGAGCTGCCATTTTAATACACCCTTCACCGACGAACGTACAAGGAGAAAATACACGAGAACACAACTGTCAGAATGAGTCAGAGCTACACTAAACCAGCTCCCCAGTGCAAAGTCAGTGTGTGTATAATTGTATTGAATGGAGGCCTGCAAATTTATGGCTGGTGATTGCAGCTGGGAACATCTTTACATAGCACTTCGTTAGTGTGTGTATTGATTTAAACTGCACATCACAAACTTGGACAATAAACAGTGTTTTTTTTTACTGGCTTAGTGATTTGTGTCACATTATGTTCTGTCAATAGTCATTCTATAAAGTCTCTTCCACACACAACCTCATTACATTCTTTTTCTTGTCTTATTAAAGCAAATACAATGGTTTTAAAAGTGCACTGCCCAACTTTTCTAGTAGAGGGTCAAATACCTGTTTGTCTCCATGGAAATGTTATTGTATTACGCTGCATTACAGGTCAGATCTGTGGAGAGTTGCCCCTAATCACAGAAGGAATTGCTGTGTTTTTGAGCAATAGAAACACCTGTAATGAGTAGCGTATTTTTCGGAGTATAAGTTGCTCCGGAGTATAAGTCGTACCAGCCAAAAAATGCGTAATGAAGAAGAAAAAACATAAACCGTATTTTCCGGGCTATTAGGCGCACTCTAAGCCTCCAACTCCATCAAAAAATGGCCACACGCCCCACAATCCAGAGCGCCCTATACACGAATCCACTCGGGTGTCCCAGCACGACTTCCAGTAAACTACAAAGCCGCACCACCCGCAGCGCACGCAAACACACACGGAGCAGACAGCGACCGCACAGCGAAAAACACCCACAGCCACACTCATCACTCCACGCCGACGAGGAACAGAACGGAGGAATGAACCGAAAAAGCGAGTGCAATGTGCCACTTCTAGACACAACTGAACAACTGAGTCACTGCGAACACGGCAACAATCCGTTGGTCCCAGACAGCACCCTCCCTACACGCCACAACTGAACAAAGCCCAGAGTCACCGTGAATGTGACAAACAAAGTCCGACTGACCCATCCAACTGTTGTGTTTCGTTTAAAGTCCGGTGCGGTTTATTTGTGAAAAAAGTTTGAAAATAGACCATTTAATGACAGTGCGCCTTATACGGTAAGTCGCACTTTCTGGGGGAAATTTATTTTATAAAATCAGAGACCAGGAACCGACATTTCATCTTGAAATGCAAGTTATAGTAATAAAAATAGAACAGAGAACAACAGACTGAACGGGTGTCTGGTGTGTTAATGTAACATATGAACAGTTCTTCAGATAATTGTCACATAAACGACAGAACATAACAAGTTTACCAAAGTCTCAATCTCACTCCAAATCATTAAATCAATTAAATTCTTCATCTTCTCTTTCCGCCAGTCCCTCACAAGTGTCTCACTCACTCCAAACTTTCTTTCTGCTGCTCGATTACCATTTTCAGCTGAGTATTTCACTACTTGCAGCAGGACAGCGTCTTTTTCTGCAGAAGACATGCACAGTAGAGCGAGAAGTGACAGTGGTACAGGAGTAATAGGGGTAACAGATACTGACACACAAGACTAGAGCCTCTTGTGGCTGTCAGTGGGAAAATTTTAATATGTAAGTTGCACCGGAGTATAAGTCGCAGAACCACCCAAACCATGAAAAAAGTGCGTCTTATAGTCCAAAAATACTGTGGATATTTTTAATGTCATACTATGAAGCATTCCAAGCAAAGCAATAACAAGTATGGGGCAGACACTCCACCAGAAAAGTTGCGCAGTGCACCTTTAAAGATAAGTTTTGTGAATATAAACAACACAGATGTTTACTCCACAATGTTTGCTTTGATTTTTTTCCCTTCAAAGTCTGAACTCTGCTCCAGACTAAGGTTCGTCAAAAGTATCAAAAAACGTAATCGATACTAAAACTAGTATCAAAATTTGATACTCATTTGAGCAAGTATCGATACTAGGGATGTAACAACAACCGAAATATTGTGATATCGTATTGTCAAAGTTCTCACAGTAATACCATGGACCATGACAATATATCGAATTACAAGTTTCTTTACTTAAATTAAGAGTCATGGTGCAGCAAAAGCTAAAAAAAAAAAAAAAGACAGAGGGAACTACATAGACCATGATCCTTTGCTCCATTTAGGTGCAGACTACAAGAAGAAATAACAGTTCTAAGCACTTTTAAGTCTTAGTTCTTTGGATTAAGTCTTGTCAAGGCATTTTAAGAGGAAAAAGTTGCATATTAACAGTTTATTTAGCCTCCACAAAATATCGCAATAAATATCGTACTGTGAGATTTAGATATTGTTACATCATGAGCCTCTCCACCATATCGTGAGCTTTCCCACAATATCTCAATAAATATCGTACTGTGAGGTTCATACGGTGACGATATCGTATCATGAGACTTGGATATCATTACACCCCTAATCGATACTAAAAATGTCACATTCACAGGACAGAAATGAACCTTTCCTTAATAGTTTTAGAATGAGCTTGAGCTGAATCAGAAGTATAAGGAACCTTTGGAACCTACGTGGACGACTGTGGGATTACACAGATTTAACACCACATGATAATATAAAAGAAGGAAACATTGTATTGTCTAAATAAAGAGTGTTTTTATTCTCATTGTGGTATCAGAATCAATATTGAGTGTCAAGTCTGTTCCTTAGTGTCGAAATAGTTTGAAATTTTAGTACCGTGAAAACACTTCTCCAAACCAAATGCTTTTAGAGACAGAGGGTTGGCTGTGAATCTTAATTAAAACGTCTGCCTGGTTATGTATATTTGCGAAGTGCCATTGAACAAATTTGCATACAAAATCATTAAAAGTAGCTGTAATGTTTTTAACTTTTAAACCAGGGATCGCCAACCTGTAGTTCGGGAGCGACTGGCAGCTCTCCACCCCCTTCCAAGTCGCTCGCCAAGGGATTTCTGAATTATACGTATTGAGCTGAATAACTCAAATTTGATTGATTAAATGCCTCTTTCCATGGTAAATGTATAATTTTGATGCCTATACTTGTGCACTGATAAATGGATAATGGTTTATGTTTTGAAGGCTTTTAAAGGCTTGCCATGGCTCTTATATTTACTCAATTTCTGGCAATCGCAAGAATTAGTAGCTCTGTGGCATTTTTGATTTACAAAAAGTAGCTCAGAGGAGGAAAAAGGTTGGAGACTCCTGCTTTCAAAACCCTTTGCTTTATATTTAATACACAAAAACCCTCATATGTAGTTGTTCTCAATATGTAGTATATTATTTGTCACTAGTCTGGATCACATTTTTTTGACTTTTCAATATCACCAAGTTCAAATTCTTTTCCATTTATTATAACTTTTGCGAATCTCGCAATTTCTCAAACTAGGAATTTGCTTCAACGATTTAGTGAAAAACAAGGACCAGTAATGATAAAATGTACTGAATGCATGCAAAGTAATGCAAAATATTTAAAAGAAAAGAAAAGAAAAAAACTAAACAGAAGAGATTAAACTTTTATCCTGACTCCAGTAACTAAGCTTCGAGTACGTGCTGTGTGCTTCCCCCCTCTTCAGGCCAAAGTGTGGTACTGCAGTTGCCTTGACACCGTAACTAAACGTGTGAAAATCCTTACAACAGCTCAGAGAGAGAGTGTTTGTGAATATATTACGTTTTCTGCTTCTATTCAGACCTGTCCTGTTATTTTTCTTTAGGTTTATCTGTCTTTTGTGTATCCCAACGACTTCACTCGTCTGACACACATGGAGAGAGAGAACAAGTGCTTCTACAGAGAATCTCCTATCTACCTGGAACGGTAAGGACAGTTTGTGGCTTTTAAGTTTTTTTTCTTTTCTTTTTTGTTAATTTCTGTCCAAGTACACTACCAGTCACACATAAATAAAAATTATTTACTACTTTCTGGATTTGATTTACACACAGAAAACATCAAATGTAAGAAGTTAATTGTATGGAAAAAAGCAAAAAAAAACAAAAACAAAACACTGTAACCAAAAAAATATGTACATTATTATTAATTATATTATTAATTATAACTAAATCCTCAAATTAGACACCCTATGCTTTTTTGTTTAACTATTTAACTCACATTTGTTATTTAAAAATGAACTATGTAACTTTTCCTTTTGGGGGTCCATCACCTTCTTGTTTCTATGGATATATCATTGCTTTGTCTGGAATGTTCCACAGTATGACTTTAAACAGCTCTACTTTACATTTAGTCAATTACATTTTGTTTTATAGCTCAAAAATACCTATAAAAACAGGCATTCTGACTGTGATCGGATCGCCTCTCCACAGATCTGACCCGTCACTTGGTCTGGTCTGGTCTCCGTGATGATAGAAAGGTTTAATGCCATACTGTGAAACATTTCAGACCAAGCAATAACATCTTCATGGAGAAAATCATTTGACGGATCACAACGGAAAAGCTACACAATGCAGTTTTAAGTTCTTTTTCTTTTCTAAATAATTCCGCATTTCTTTCTTTATATATTTGATGTGTTTTGTAAATACTATATCAAATGTAGAAAGAAGTAAACATAAAGAAAAAAAAAAAAAAACACTGAATGAAATAACACCAGTCTAATGTTTCAACACTCTCTTGATTCACTGTTTTGTTTTGTTTTTGTTTTGTTTAGATTTTTAGTTTTTTTTCTTACTACTTTCTACATTTTAGATATTTAGTAGATTTAGTAGAGCTATTTAACTTTTTATTTCTTTTCTACACAAATCTATTCCTTTCCTGTATATATATAAAATGCAGAAATTAGTACAAATAAAGAAAAACAAAACCTGAATGAAATGGCAAGTCGAAACTTTTGGTTAAGCAGCACCAGTCAAAAGTTTGGACTCACTCTCTTGATTCACTGTTTTTGTTTTGTTTTTTCTTACTACTTTTTGCATTTTAGATATTTAGTAGATTTAGTAGAGCTATTTCACTTTTTATTTCTTTGCTACATAACTCCATTCCTTTCCTGTATTTATATAAAATGTCGAAAATAGTAAAAATAAAGAAAAAAAAAAACAAACACTGAATCGGATGACGAGTCCAAACTTTTGACTGTCATTTTTATGGTTAAACAGCATCCGTCAAAAGTTTGGACCCACTTTTCATTCAGTGTTTTGTTTATTTTTGCTTACTACTTTCTACATTTTTGATATTTAGTAGATTTAGTAGAGCTATTTAAGTTTTTATTTCTTTTCTACATAATCCCATTCCTTTCCTGTATGTATATCAAATGTAGAAATGCGAGTGTGAGTCGTAACTTTTGACGGATAGTGTACGCTACCATCCCTGATAATCCATATAACTGTGCCTTATTATGTGTTCCAGGTTTGGTTTCTACAAATACATGAAGATGGATGAGGAGGAGGATGACAGGCCTTTCTTTTTCCCCAACCCAGATGGTAACTAAGAATAAAACACCTATGCACAGACATCAGTATGCACGGCTCGTTTCCTCTCCTCCTCTCTTGGCTACATTTCTATACTTAATATTTATTTCATTATGACACATGTCCAATCTGTGTGTGTGTGTGTGCTTGTCTGTATGTTCTATAGTATGGTATTAAACATATCTAGTTTGCATTTGTTGGATTACATTTGTTTTTATTGCTCTAAAATACCTTGAAAAACATTCTTACTTTGAGTGGGCTTGCCTGTCCACAGATCTGACCTGTAACTTTGCCTGCACCGATCCAGCATTTTTAGTGTCCATACCAATATCAATACTTTTATTTAAGTATCTGCGAATATCCGATATCAACCGATACCAGTGTAGGGAGGGAAAATTATTGATTCATCAGTCAGTTTCACTTCTTCGAAACCGTCTGATCTCGCAACATTCAGACTCGTTCGCTCATTGGTAGGTGTGTACTTTTGGTACTTTTAAGCTACGTTTTTATGATAACGGTCTGAACAGAATACACACAAGTGGAGTCGTGTCTTCTCTTTTTATTCCGTGTTTAGACGAGTGTTTTTGGGAGGAAGTCTGCGTGCATACGGTGACGCATAAGTGTGTGGAATTCGATTAATTATGCATGTCACGCACATGTATGTGACATAAACGTGTACATGACGTGGGCAGTGTAGCCAGAAACGCTACGGTGGTGGAGCGTGTTCAACCTTTTCCACTCTGGAAGGTGGTTTCAGATGTTTGCGTTTTTAAGCCCCCCAAAAAAACTGTCACCGTCTAAACGAAAGGCACTGCTGATAAAATATTTTGTTGTTTTTCCCGCAAGCGTTTTTGTGTAAAGAGGCCCTTACTCTTGACACCATGTGAATTGTGTGGTACTCTATGTCTTTTACTTATTTTATTTTATTAATTGATTTATCATTTTTACCTTTATGCATTTCAACACTTTTTATTTATTGTTTTTAATTATAATTTATTGTCTTTTATTGTATTATTTTGTCTGTGCAGCACATCAGAAACTGTCATGTTTATAAAATGTGCAATATAAATGTTAAAAAAGTGGATTGGATTGGATTGGATACCTGATCTGGACAGTTTTTTTTGTATCGACCCCAATATTTGACACCAGTATCGTATCGCTCATCCCTCCTGGTGGTGCCATACTGTGTAACATTTTCTGCAAAGTAATAAATAGCATCTCTACCTTCCACCTTCAGAGCTACAAAGTGCAGCATTTATAGCATCCTTAATTTGAAATCCGTAAATGTATCCTGGAATTTAGTCAGCGTTTTTATCTCTTTTTTCATTCCAGATTTCCTTGAGGAGGAGGAAGTTGTAGACACCGAAGATGAAGCAGAGATTGTTGGCACTCCTCCGCCTAAAAAACCCAGCCAAACCAGCCACACATCCAACCCCGAGCACCCCCGTCGCTCCAGGCCTGCTTCCACCGCGGGAGCCAGGGAACCGGAGGAAGAGGAGGCTGACGAGGATGAAGATGCGTTAAACAGAATTATGCAACGGAGAGGGAGACGCCACTTTGTAGATCGAGATAGAGAGTGGGTACGAGGAAACATTGGAAAAGTGCCTTCTGAAATCCAACACGGCGCTTTCCAGTCCGATGCGTACAGCGTGGTGCGAGGCAGATCCTTGTCTTGGATCAGAACCGGCCCCGAGGAACCAGAAGGAGAGAAGGACGCTGAATCTCCACCTAAACTTAACAAAAATTCCTTGCTTTTTCCACAAAAATCGCACCTTTCCGTTCTCGCAAACCGTGCCAAGCAAATCCTCACGAACTCCGCTCATAACAACAACCTCCATGAAAATAAAAAGAGAGAAGAGAGTAAAATCTACATAACGAGACCTCGACCAGCTAAAGAAAGAGAGCGGGAGCGCCGGGAGAGGAGGGAGGAACGAGAAAAGGCCTCTCGACATCCTAGAGAAGTTTTTCCAGGTGTGTTTTTGTATCAGAACGGAAAAACTACCAAACTTGTCAATGTTGGAGCAAAGGGACACACAACAGGAGGGAGGAATTATGTTAGTCCACCTCTTTGGCCTCCGCTGAAAGACAAAACTGGTCCGCAAAATGGCAGCAAACAAAACGAAAGCGTGCACAAGGCTGTAATGGAAAAACAGATCGAGAAAACGAAAAGAAAAGGAGATTATCAAGCTATAAAGAAAACAGTGACTCCTCTACCTCCTGTGAACACGACGCACAACACACAAATACGTGTTACATCTTACCTCAGAACTTCAGAGATTACAGAATCACACCCAAGGGACCAAGCGGACCCAAACCCGCCGGAATTTGACCCGGAAATCAACAGGTCCAACCCGGATCCGGACCAGGAGCCTGACGCGGAGCCGGAGCCGGAGGAAGGCGAGTTGTCAGACTACAGTTATGAGGAGGTGGAGCCGAGGCCGGGTTGGGTGGAGGAGAGCATCAACTGGCAACGCACTTTCTCGGTGAACCCCATGGACTTCGAGCTGCTCAGGTCAGACTGGAATGACCTGCGCTGTAATGTGTCTGGGAACCTGCAGCTGGCGGAGAGCGAGGTGGTGGACGTGTTGGCGCAGTACATGGAGAAACTCAACGAACGCAATGGAGGGTAAGGCTAATGTAGGATCAGAATCACAGGCCAAGCATATTCATGAAATCTCTAAAGTAATAAACAGACTGATGATTGCATTACTACATTTTATTCAGTGCATATTAGTGTGTTTTGTGTTTTAACGCAATCTGACCATAAACAATTGACTTGGCACAATCATCTCACCTTTGTATCGAGTGACCAGATTTTCAAAATTAAAAACTGGGACGCATCTGTGTTGGGATATTGGTGTAAATAAAATTGTGAAAAGAGAGAATAACGTTGTCCATTCTCAATTCACTTGTGGGTAAGGCTGCTCGTTTATGGAAAAAATTATTATCACAATTATTTTGGTCAATATTGAAATCACAATTATTCAAACGATTATTTTTTGGTTACATGACGCATTGACAAAAAAATAATCATGTAACTAAAAAATTATCTTGTAAATATGTAATATATATGCTCTCTTTTCACATTTTATTTACACCAACATCCCAACCCAGATGTGTCCCAGATTTTTAATTTTGAAAATCTGGAAATGTTGCATTTATTCAACATTTCTGTCTCTTTTTTACACAAAACTTTCAAATTGATAATAAATATGACCTTAGAGCAGTTTTGTGATGTATAAAACATAAAATGAATAAAATAAACTTGAAATAACATGAAATAAGGAATAGAAAAACATAAATGTATCCAAAATAACCTATATATCCAGCTGTTCTACAATCTCTATATTTAAACAATAAAATAAATATACTTAATTAACTATATAAAAAATGTCCCAAAATAAACTTTCAAGTCGTTTTTTATGAGTTTGGAGATCGTTTGGCACACAAATGTAAATTGCAGACAAAATTCAATTAATAGCACAGCCTTACTTGTGGGTCAGTATAGATTTTTCACCTTATAGTCAATTTCAAGCAGTTTTTTGTATTTTAGCTAAACAAATGACAATATATTCCCCTCGTTACTGCTGGTGTGTATCAGATTGATCAAAAACAGGGACACCTTGGACATTTCTTGTGTAAAACTGGGACAAATCACTCATTTTAGATAAATCTGCTGGGACAGGGGACACAGGGCTCAAAACTGGGACTGTCCTGAGTAAAGAGGGACGTCTGGCCATCCTGCCTTTGTAGTTTTAGCTGTTAAACAAGTTAAAATTACAGACACAAGCTATTTAGCAGTTTTTCAGTTAGTCACTTTCATCTTTATTGTTGAAAATCAAACTCCTAAACCAGGACTCCTGAAAATATGTTTTTGTATTTATGAGTAGAGTTTTCAAACCATCTTAATACTTTTTTGACATCATTTTCTAAGATGTGCATTGTGTCACCATGGTAAATGCTGAACATACATGTAAAACACCCCCAGCGTGACATGACTGCAAAGTATCACTACATGTATACAGTATCGTACATTCATTTTTTTACCAATTACTCCCTAAGTCATGGCCTTTTTAGTATTTAAGTGTCTCAATTTGACAGTGTCCATTACGTTTTTTAACAGCATGGTAACTGATAAACTGAAATTGCCAAAGTGAAAAAAATAAATTGAAGCTTTGACTATTCATGTACAGTCAGTTCCTCATAAATAACTAGAAACTTATGTAGATTTAATGAGCATCTGCGCTGTCTGCTCTGCCTCAGTATCTACACCCTCCTTCGCATCATAAACGTGGAGAAGCGGCGTGACTCTGCGCGGGGGAACCGTTACCTGGTGGAGCTGGAGCTGATGGAGCGAGGGCGCAGCGTGGTGCGTCTGTCCGAATACATCTACCTGCTTTTGCACCGCGGCCGACAGGGAGACGAGAGCCCGGAGAACACAGACTCTGTACTGGCCTCAGCTCCGGCCGCTCCCACCAGCGCCCAACCCAACCACGCCACCACCACACCCCCCTCCAACAAGCCCCCCGCCCGCCCCGCGCCCACGGCCTGGAGCACCGCCTACGCCAAGCCCCTGCTCTGCCAGCCCGTCATGCTGCAATGGAGGAGAGATGTAATGGTCCACTTCGTTGTGCCAGGTCAGACAAAAGAGAAGTTACTTTATTCACAATCAATATGAACCGATCAATGGACCTTCTCAGGGATCATTTCTCTTCTTCACGCTCCCTCTCTTTTGTGCAGTGAAAAACCAGGCTCGCTGGGTGCAACAGTTTATCTCGGACATGGAGAATCTCCATCGTCAGACCAAGGACGACAATTTCAGCATCATTATCGTTGACTTTGAGAGTGAGGACATGGATGTGGAGCAGGCGCTGAGAGAGAGCAGCGTGCCCAGGTCTGTGCACCCCGGAGTCAACATGTCAAGTTAAAAATAAGACTCTAATGCATTATTTATGACTTATATTTTTGTATATTTATTTTGACAGATACGAGTATCTCAGGAGAGAAGGAAACTTTGAGCGCTCAGCTGGACTCCAGATCGGGGTTGACACCATAGAGGTAAAGAGTAATATCTGTCAGTTATGAAGGTCACACACCCACACTGCCCACTGCCCTTTGAGCTGATGGACAGGCAGAACTCTCATGAATTATGAACGCGTCAGACTGTAACGGGCCTGGACCTTATCTCCGCTCCGCCCTCAGCCCAGACAGACACAGACAGAATCAGTGTGACTCCTGGCTCCATCTCCCTGTCATATGTTTCCCATGGCTGTCACATCCACTCCCTGTCTCACTGTCTCAGGTTATTTGTGCCTCCTGCCTCTCTCTCTCTCTCTATCTCTCCTCCCTCTCTCTCTCTCTCCTCCCTCTCTCTCTATCTTTCTCTGTGTGTGTCTCTCTCCCCTTCCTCTCTCTCTTTCTCTCTCTCTGTGTGTCCCTCTCTCTCTCTCTCTCCCTTTCTCTGTCTATCTCTAGCTACAGCTCTCTCTATCTGTCTCTCCATGTCTCCCCCCTCTCTCTGTCTTTCTCTCTTTCTTTGTGTATCTCCCTCTCTCTCTCTCTCCATCTCTCTGTCTCCCCCTCTCTCCCTCTGTCTCTAACTCTGTCTCCCCCTCTCTCCATCTCTCTCTCTCTGTCTCTCCCCCTCTCCCCATTCTCTCTCTCCTTGTCTCCCACTCTCTCTGTCTCTCTCTCTCTCTCTCTTTGTGTGTGTCTCTCTCATCTTTCACTCTCTCTCTAGCCTTCTCTCTCTCTCTCTCCCCCTCTCTCTCCATCTCTCTGTGTCTCCCCCTCTCTCCATCTCTCTCACTCTCCCTGTCTCTCTCTATCTCTATCTCTGTCTTTTTTTGTCTCCCCTTTCTCTCCATCTCTCGCTCTGCCTCTCTCTCTCTCCTCTTCCCTCTCCTCTTCCCTCTCCTCTTCCTCTCGTACGTTCACACAGCCCGGGGCCGGGGAGCGTGGACAGTGATCTGTCATCTGTCTGTCAGCGTTGTCATGGAGACATGAAAGAGTTGTCACTCATCTGTCAGCTGTGATAAAGGGCCTTTGTTACTGTAAATAGACCTACACTGCTGTGATAGTCTCTGGATGCAATATGGAAAACATTTATTTTAATTTATTTCCACTAATCTAACCTCACTTTTCACACGGAAAAGCCCTTGAAAATCTTTAATGTGTCTTTGCTGACCCCTAGTGGCAGAATTTACATGCACACTGATAATAAGTACTAAACCAAACAAATAATCCTAAACGATGTTGTTGTTTCCAGGACAACCACAGCATCGTGTTCCTGTGTGACCTGCACATTCACTTCCCCATGAACATCCTGGAGAGCATCAGGAAACACTGTGTGGAGGGACGTCTGGCCTTCGCCCCCATCGTCATGAGGCTGAGCTGTGGCAGCTCCCCACAGGAGCCTGATGGTACAACTGTCACATCATTATTTTGTACATGAAAGAAAGAACAGTTTAAATTAATGTTTATTTCTTTCCTTGTCAGGTTATTGGGAGGTAAATGGATTTGGCCTTTTTGGAATCTACAAGTCTGATTTTGATAAGATCGGTGGGATGAACACAGAAGAGTTCAAAGACCGCTGGGGAGGAGAGGACTGGGAGCTGTTGGACAGGTAACATCATGGAGAGAAATAATGATGTCTTAAACAGGAGGATTACACAGTGGTCCCTCGTTTATCGCCGGTGTTACGTTCTAAAAATAACCCACAGTAGGCGAAACCCACAAAGTAGTCAGCTTCATTTTTTGTAATTACTATATCTGTTTTAAGGCTATAAAAGCCCTCACCACACACTTTTTATACTTTTTTCAGACAGGACCTTTTTTGCATCCTTCGTAAAACTTATTGCTGCCATCGTCCTTATGTTATTTTCCTCCTTCTTTATGTAATGAACTGAAGATTAATTTATTCCGTAATGGCACCCTAGAGCCTCGTAACTTTCTACCTTCCTTCAGCATGTCCAGAAGTCCAACTTTTTGTGCGATGGTTTGCATCTTCTTCTGTCTTTTGGGTACGACCGCAGGAGCCTTTGTCGGTGCAGCATAACAATGTGGGTTTCATCAACATTTTTGTCAACATTGTGGGAGAAAACTTGCAAACATACAGCACTTCAGAATCACACTGGTAGTGATCAAACATTTATGTAAATTTGGAAAGCTGAACACATTCTGTACAGGAGACACGGCACGGAGGAGACTGATTGACAATCTACAGTCTCTTAGCCAATCAGGACGCAGGGGAAGGAACACAATACACGTTCATATGCTGTAAAAAGAAAAAAGCACTAAACTTGCACTAAAAAAAATTCAAAACAGTGAGAACCGCATTATAGTGAGGGACGTCTTCCATATTGATGTATTTGTCAAATTGAAAAGCGAAGATAAAATTAAAAACATAATATTTTTTCTCCTCAGAGTGCTACAAAACGGGTTAGAAGTGGAGCGGCTTCGTTTGAGGAACTTTTTCCACTACTACCACTCCAAACGGGGCATGTGGAACGCTCAGAACAAGAAAAGCCCTAAAGGATAGCACCACCCGCTGGTCAGGAGGCCTAAAGACAAAAGACAAAAAGCAGCAGATCCACTGTGAGTGAGTGAGGGAGCCTTCTCACTGCTTAAACTCTGCCTTTAGGAAACAAGCCTGTGTTTCACCATCGGCCTGCGCGGTGAGGCCTGAATGAGGAACTGGACCAGGATTTTGAAAGCGTTTCGTTGACGCGTTTTGACTCACTGACATTGCCTCACTGACTCGACTACTGTCCACAGAGAGGATTTTTGTGCGACTTCTCTCTGTTCTTTTTGGTGCAATCTCTAAAGACAGACTGTCAATCAGCTATTGTGTGTGCGTGCTTGTGCGTTTGTCTGCGCGGGGGTGAATGCGGGTCTGATTTTGTGTCCGGAAGCACCTTTTGTACAAGTAAATGGGACAGGAAGACAACCTAAGATCTTTTCTGAAAGCTCTCGTCCGCCGAGAGCTTAACTGAATGTTTCAACAATAGATCAGAACTGGTGACATAGGTGACATAGGAAACTGTTTTACATCAAAAATATTTCTAAGTGAACTACTACCTGTTGAATATCATTAATAAAGTGATGTTTGTAAAGCACTTCTGGTACGTAGGTTGTGGCTTGTCACATCAGATAATTGAGTTTTTAGCGAGGACTCTGCTGAACCTGCCATCCATGTTACCTTCATATTTTTATTTATGTATTTATGTTTCAGAGTTTATTTGGCCTTGCTGCTTATTATGTCCAGGAGACTTGTTTTAAATTAACTTCAGGGTTTTGTCAAATTATTTAAATCTGATTTCTTCTCATGGCTTTGTACATAGTTGGTGTACTAATGATTGGGTGCTTTAGTTCTCATACACTGTACTTGTGAACAGTTTACACATTTAACTCTGCTAATGATGTCTTTAAAGTCACCAAAATCATAAAAATAAGAAGCTGTACATGAAATACTGGCCTAATTACTCAACGTTACAGATTGGACCTAGTTTAAAGGTGCATTGTGTGGCTTTTCTGGTAGAGGGTTCGTCAAAAACTTCTCCGTGGAGACGTTATTGCTTTGTCTGATGCTTGATTTTGTAGTTATTTTTGAGCTATAAAACCACCTGTAATTCAGTAAATGACAGGTGACTAACCCCTAATCAAAAAGTTACACAATGCACCTTTAAATGTTAACTTGAAAACGCAACAATTCTGAGGGAAAATGAGTGAAATTTGATTACGAAAAGGGTTCTTGCTTCATGGTACTGTGTAATACAAGAAGGCATGTTATCCCTGTAAGAGTGCCTTGTTCAGTATCACTGTAGTTTATACATGACAAACCAGCTCTGAACAGGATTTGGGTAGGAACAGATCCTTTAAAGGGCCCGTATTTTGTTGTTTTCTGATCTGTTATAATGTTGTTTCCTCATCACAAACAAACCTGGAGTTGTGTTTTGTTTCATTCACATGTTTAAAACACAAATCTTGCATATTTAGGCTGAGTTCTTCTCTCAAACTGAAAACTCTCTGTTCCAATTTTGTATGTCTTGTGGTATTACAGGAATTTAAAACTTCGTACACTTTCACTAGAATCATTTTAATAATTTCAAACCTGGAATTCCCAGTCGCTACTAAACAAAAAGTAAAAGGTAGCTGTTAACTTGAAAACTACTGCATCATGAGGTGTGTAAAATCCCTCAGTTGTCCAGGTAAAATTCATGGCAAAAGGAGAAATTCAATTTAACTGGACAAAAGCAATAGTGGACCTCAGTCTACTGTAAATCTCCATCTAAAATCCATGGGTCACTCCTTTGAGGATAGTGAGGTACAGATCTTTAGCCAGGCTGGTGCCACCTAGTGCCTCCTCTCTGTTTCATTTCTCTACAGCGACTAGGTCAGGAATTGGAATACACTAGACTGTTCGCAAAAACCCCGGAAGTGCGAATTCCGGGCACCAGCCAATCAGCAAAGAGCCATATATTTTGTGTTGTCAACGATTTCCAAGATCTAGGATTTAAAGCTGGAGCAAAGAGAATGTTTGGTGAATTTCGTCAAATGGAAAGACATTATTGCCCTTCTTCCTACGGGATTTGGGAAAAGCTTAATATACCAGTTAGCCCCGTTTGTGGCACATTACATTAATTATGACTAAATAGCAGTGATTGGTTAAATAAATAAAAAAGTACCCGCTTACCGTCGAGCAAACGAATTCTAACACTGTGAGGTCAGACGGTTTCTACGAACTGAAACCAGCTGATGAATGAGGTTGATAGATCTTAACCAGAGAAAATAATTGGTTTGAGAGGGGAGTTAAAGAAGCTATTTTTGTTAGGAAAGACAATCCATCTTTGAACAGAAATGTGGTACTCAGACATAATCTATCTCCTATTTACAAGTCCATCCTCAAACCTAAATCAAAACAAGCAAAGGAAAACAATAGGTGTAGCCAGGTCAGGCCCAGAGGTGTGAAAGCTCCATTATGGCCATGAATGATTATGCTGATAAGACCCCACACTCATTGCAAGTTCAATAGGCCTTGCTAACTAACAGAAACTGTAAACACATAGATGTGTTAGTTTCAGAGTAGTTTCAGTGTAGTTAGCTCCTCGTTTCAGGCAGATAAGGAATAAGGAAGTGTCCACCAGCATCTGACCAGAACTGGAGAAGTAGCTTGGATGAGCTGCGAAACGTCTTCAACCAAATAAACTTTTGTCCAGTCCATGACATCACAAGGTGCAACAGAGCGTTTTGAGCTTTGGAGATGTGACAGACTAATAATGTAGGATTACTGAGACGTGTGAATGAAAAAAACACAACTCCAGGTCTGTTTTTGATGAGGAAATGACATTCTAACATGACTTAAAGCTCACAGGAGTCTATTTTGTGTAATATAGGCCCTTTAAACTGTATAAATGAAGTGTCACTAACTTGTCTAAAGACAGAGTTGGGGATGGTCAGAGTTATTACTGTAAACAGGAGGTGTGATGGAGAGGAGGCAGCTGCGAGGAGCCCACCTGCTCACATTAGTTTAGCTCAAGTCCCCATGACCCTGTCCATGTAACTGTACTTATATCAAACAGCAGGGGGCTTTTTACTGACGAGGTGGTGACTGACAGTAGGATTCAAACGCCCTCTATAGGTCACTGTTGCCATAAAGCTGTATACTGTTCAACCTTTAGCATTGATATGTATAAATTACAAAACAAATAGAGATAAATGCAAGAAAATACATTTTAAAACCTACAAAAACAAATGGGACTACATTCCAAAGTAATTTCTGTGAAATTGTTTTGTAGAAAGTGGGTTTAAGAATGTACTGTTCCTTTATTTTCATCTGTTTTTTGCAAATAAAAATGTACTATCCTTACAGTTATACTTTTCAAGCTTTTATTAGTTTTTGTCTTTTGCGTATTTCCTCCTGGGCTCGTCACAGTCTGCTTACTGTGCAAATGCATCACATGAAAATGGTACTTGTTGCCTTCAATGTCCACAAGGGGGTGCAGTTGGCATTCTGACGCTTTTGTAAAGTGTAGCTGAAACCTTTCATACTGTGTTCAATGAAATAAATGATTAGAGAGAAAATGGTTTTATTCTTGTCATACGTGAGGACCAAGGTTTTGAGCCTCTATAATGACATTTATTCCAGTGGTGGAACGTAACAAAGTAAAAGTAGTAAAAGTACTGTACTTAAGTATAAGCTTTGGATGTCTGTCCTTTAATTGTGGATACTTTTTACTTTTGCTTCATTACATTTGAGAGCAGGTCTGTACTTCCTACTCCACTACATTTTTTAACAGGACTGAAAAGTAAAAACCTTCGCTGCAATAATTGTTTCTATTGAACAAAATTCAGCACAAATGGTTATTAAATCACTCAATTTTGAAACTTTATTAGATCTGCAAATCTGCATAAAAATATATATTTTAAACAACCTTTAACAGGATAGCTGTGGGGTCTTAAAGGTCTTAAAAAGGTCTTAAATTTCATGTTCCTAAATTAAAGCCTTAAAAAGCCTTAAATTATGTTGTCCAAGTCTTATTTTTTTCACAAAGGTCTTAAATTTCATTATACTATGTTTTTTTGTATCCTCAACCGGGAGCATGGCAATGGGAGGAAAAAAAACAACATGAAATCACATAATGTGAATGAATGTCTAATTTGGATTATTCGCAAACATTGTTACATGGGTACTTTTACACTTTTACTTAAGTTTTTTTTTTTTTCATGTGATACTTTAACTTTTACTTGAATGTTTCTTTGCTCTCAATGCTAACAGTATTTTGGTTTCTGGCACCAGCATTTGGTTTTTGGCTCCAGTAGAGTGGAGGAAGACGTTGGATGGATCATGGGGTAGTGTAGGTTTAATCCACAGTGGCTCTTAGATTCTAGATATAATACCAGTAGTTGGTTGGTCATTATTAGAACTCTGCCAAGATCTGGTATTTTTCACCCACATAATGGGTGCGATGTTGGTCTTAATTTTCATGTAAGTGCTTGTAAAAAAGGTCTTTAAAAAGTCTTAAATTTGGGGCAGTCAAACCTGGGGATACTATGTTTAAGTAATGAAATGCACTTCTTCCACCACTGATCTGTTCCAATCTAATTTAGTCTTTCCAATATTCCTCGTTCCCTCTGAAAATAACACAGGAGGTCCATGATGAGGTAGTTTTGTCCCGCCCGCTGCCTGTGGGGCTGTGAGGTCTGTGAGGCAAGTGTGAAGCTCCTGTGATCTCCACTGGGCCCCGGGCACTGATGTCATTCGAACAAACCAGGAGGTCCTCTGAGCTCAGCCGGTCACTCCCTGCGGTGGAAGAAGTGCTTCAGTCAAACCAGACCAAGTTACGGGTCAGATCTGTGGAGAGGTGACCCCGCTCAAGTGAAAGTATGTATTTTTGAGCTATAAAACCATCTGCAAGTGAATAAATGTAAGGCAGAGCTGTTTAATGTCATACTGCGGAACATTCCAGGCAGATAAATGACATATCCATAGCAACAAGCAGGTGACGGACACTGAACCAAAAAGTTACACAGTGCACCTTGACGTAAAAGTACATATACTAGGGCAAAAAACACTCAAGTAGAAGTAGAAGTAGCATGAAAAAATCTACTTAAGTAAAAATATAGTATATAAGTATAAGTACCTGTTTAAAAATTGACTTAAACAGTAAAAAGTAAAAGTTTTTTTTCACATTTCACATAGATTTTGAGATCTGATAATACTTCAAATGTAGTGATTTTTCTTTGTTCAAAAGAAACAACCAAATTAGTAGCTGTTTTTATTTGTATATTTTTATTTCCGCAAATGTGTTAAAAAATAAACCCTCAGACTTTTCAGCAGCTCTCAAACTATAATAAAAATACTTCGGACTTGACTTTTCAGTCCAGTTCAAAAATATAGTGGAGTAAAAAGTACAGATACCTGCTCTCAAATGTAGTGAAATAAAAGTAAAAAGTATCTATTTCAATTAGTTTCAAGTTAAAATGTGTACTTGAATACTTTTACTTCATTCCCCTCCACCATTGGTCACTCCCTGTTCATTGAGCTCTTGGCAGACAGTGATTCAGTGTGAGTGTGTGTGTGTGTTTGCTTTGTCACTCACTGTTTCCACTTATGGTCATACAGAGCTGTCTATAGAATACTCTCGCCTCCACAATATAAGTGTGGGAACAATGATCTCATAATATTCAGAAAGAAACAGCCAGTCCATAATGAGTGACTGATTTTGTGACATGGAGTTGTGTTTTGTTTCATTCACACATGTTTAACACTGCGTTTTTAAGATCCATAACCTTCTTTAGAATCATCCGATCGCTTTTTTTCAAGCCTGTAGGTGCCAATCTCTACTGAACAAAAGGTAAAAGCTGAAAAGTTAAGCTGAAAAGTGCCACTACACGCAACAACACAAGGTGGAACTGAGCATTTTGAGCTTTGGAGAAGCAGACAGACTAATAATACATATTAGCCTGTCTGCGTCTTCAAAGCTTAGATTACTCAAACACGTGTGAATTAAACAAAACACAACTCCAGAAATTGTAACAAAAGCTCACAATAGTCAATTTTGCGTAATGTGTGCCCTTTAAGAAAGTCCCGTTGTGTGTCTAAAAGCTGTTGCTCAATCCCCAGCAGACGCACTTGTCTTGGTATGTGCAGTGATGACTATAGGCGGCCCATGTGATTTCACTCAAGCGTGTTATAATTTAATCAGAAAATAACAGTCTTCGCACAATGATCCAAAAATTGCGTATTCTTTTCATGCGCTTTGTTTTGGAAATAAAAGCTATATAGGACTTTGCTGGTGTTTACACATTACAGAGCTTCAGTGGTATCGTAATTCCCCCAAATGATCCACAGATTTCAGAAGAAAGAGCTCTTAAAGTGAACCAAAGGTGTGACAAAATCTCCTCAAAGCTTTTAACTGCACTTTCGATAATCAGAGTCAACATAATGCTGCCTTCGGAGGATTATGCAGATTCAATTTAGGCTGTAGTTAGGCGAGAAATTATCCAGGCGGTGTTTGGTTTGAAGCTATCACCCAAAGAGCAAGATGAGGTTTTTGCTGTGAGGTCCTATATTACAAAATGGACTTTTCTGAGCTGTAAAACGTCTTATAAAGTTGCTACCTCCTCAAAAACAGACCCGGAGTTGTGTTTTGTTTCATTTACACATGTTTGAGTCATCCTTTGTTATTAGTCTGTCCACATCTCCAGTGCTCAGAATGCTCTGTTCCACCTTGTGATGTCATGAAGTGGTAGTTTTCAAGGTAACAGTGACATTTTACCTTTTATTCAGTAGAGATTGAAAATTCTGTGGTTGAGATTATCCAAATGATTCTAGTGAAGGTGTATGGAGATTAAAAACACAGTGGAGCACTTCTTATCACATGACATCACAAGGTGGAACAGAGTGTTTTCAGTTTGAGAGAAGAATTCAGTCTAAGTATGCAGAATTTGTGTGATAAACATGTGAGTGAAACAAAACACAACTCCAGGTATGTTTTTATTTTAACAGATAAGAAAATAGCCTAATATGGGCCCTAATATTAGGTCTTTGATGTTCTCTGATTTCTCTGGGTCTAATTCTGATGTTGGTTTGTGTTTGTTTTGTTATGAAATATAATTGGGAAAACACGGTTGCGTCATGTGAATGTCACTGATTCAACACAAGTCTCAAACCCACAGACGTCGGTCACGTTACACACATTTACAGTCCACTCCGATCAAAATAGCAGAAGTTGTTAGAGTTTGGAGCTGCTCTCTGATTGGTTGAGACGAACAGTGAGTCGTGCTGTGATTGGTGCGCTGCTCGCTCTGTGTTGTGCGCCCCTCCTCTCACACGTCAGTGTTTGCAGGACGCGCACCAGGCGCAGCTCAGATCAAGTGAACTCGGACTTTACCGCTGCGAACATCACACGGAGCGGAGACGCTGGAGTTTGTTGCGGCTACGCCACGGATTTTATCAATGAACTCAGCTCGTTTGGTCTCAGAGAATAAGGAGCAGTTTGTTTCACACATCCGATCACTGGGAACGTCAAAGAAAGTTTACATTCTCGTCAGTTTTCTGTGTCCAAGGGAAAAGGTGAGACTTTCTGACTTGTTTGAATGAGGAAAAGATAGTATTGGAGCGGGACTTGCTTTGAACTCGCGTTTGCAGCATGAGTGGCAAAAGTTGCAGAGCGTAACCAGTTCGTCCAGCCCGACGGGGAGTTGCACGCAGGTAACCAGCACTTCCAAAGCCACGCTGCCGTGGCTCTGTACAACATGGCCGGTGTCAGCAACATGAAAACCCTGGAGGACCTGACTCTGGACTCGGGCTACGGCGCAGGGGACTCCTGTAAGTCCCTCAGCCTGTCCTCCTCCAAGTCCAACTCCCAAGCCTTCATGACGGCCCCGCACCGGGGCAACTGGTGGTACTACTCCGGCTCCATGAACAGCAGGAACAACAGCTGGGACACTGTCAACACGGTTCTCCCGGAGGATCCCGAGGACATCTTCTCCAAGTGTCCGCGGCTCCCAGAGCTGGAGGAGTTCCCCTGGACTGAGGAGGAAATTGCAAAGATCCTGCGCAGAGTTGCTGGAAGTTTTGCCAAGGGGGGAGTTTCTGCTGTTTTCTCCCCCGAGGCCGTAAAGAAACTGTCCGGGCTCCTTCGCAGAGCTCTGATCCGTATCTCCAGAGAAGCTCAGCGTCTGAGCGTCATGCACTGCCGCTGCACGCGCTTCGAGGTGCAGAGCGCCATCCGGCTCATCCTGAGCTGGGCTCTGGCGGACCACTGCGTGTCCGCGACAGTCAAAGCCATCTCCATGTACTGCATGAGCGCGGGGGAGCTGCTGAGGAAGGGGAAGTCTGCCCGCTGCGGGTTGACCCTCTCCGTGGGCCGCTTCTTCCGCTGGATGGTGGACACGCGCATCTCCGTGCGCATCCACGAGTACGCGGCGATCTGCATGAGCGCGTGCATAGAGGCTCTGGTGGAGGAGATAGGAGCGCGTGTCCTGATGGCCGAGAGGGGGCACGCGGGTCCGGATGCTGTGTCAGCCGCGTGCCCCGTGAGCGCGGAGAGCCTGGAGGCGCTCGTGAACAATGACGCAGAGCTGTGGGGGGTCCTGCAGCACCACGAGCACCTGATCTGCGGCAAGAACGCCAGCGGTAAATATACTTCAGCTTTATTCACTGCACATGTCACTTTGTGTCCTTTATGTCACACAGTCAGTAATGCACAGAACTTCAGAACACACTTTGACTCTCTCTGCCTGACTCTGGCCTGGTGCCAGCTCTGAAAGGCACGTTGCAAACTGAAACTAACCTGGGCACTTTGTCACTGTGTTACATTTTTCTTTGTCACGTGTTAAACTTAGACACGCCTGAGTCAATAACATAACAAACCATTAGTAGTGAGACTATTTCCCCAGATGTTCAGTGAGGTCACTTCAAAGTTGCACATGTTTGGCCATTATACACTTGCCACTATTGCTGTCAATCATTATTGGTGTGAAGAATTGCTTCGCCTATCTTTGAGCTGATGTCAAAGAGAGTTTTGTGTTTGTCACTCAGTCCTCACTGGTCACTACTTTCCACACTGTCGGTAAAGGTGAACTGAAGTCTGCCTCCTGTACAATAGCTGCTTTCTCCTCCCGCTCTGTGATGGATATGTTGCTGATTTGGCTCGTCAGTGTTGAGAAAACATTGCATAAGGTTCTGATTGAGACAAAGACTTCATTTTCTTAGGGGTTGTTCCACAGGGAGAAGTGTGATTGGCCTATCCTCATTCCTCTGATTGACTTTTAGCAGCGCCACATGTTTGGATCTTGTTCTGTTATTGTTTAGCATCCAGGAGTGAGGCACAGCTTTCTGTTACTCACTGCTCCTGTCCACTCCCCCACTGCGCTGGCTCTACTCCTCCTAAAATCCTCTCCTTATCTCATTCCTCCACCCTCCACTGACCGCATCCCTGACCCCAGCTGTGCAACCCGGTCCCTGCCCGTGTGTTTATCTGCTTTTTGTCAAACTCATGTGTTTTGATGGTTGTGGAGAGTAGCCGTAACTTGGTCTTAAAGTGTTTCTACTTCAAAATAATAACAAAATAGACCTGTTATAAGAAATCTAGAGCACACAGAGAGAAAGAATAGAGAGTCTGTCACCTCTGGATCTATGAATGTGTCATTGCTCTGCCTGGAATGTTCCACAGTATGACATTAAACAGCTCTACCTTACATTTAGTCAATTACAGGTGGTTTTAAAGCTCAAAAATACCTAGAAAAACAGGCATTCTGACAGATTTGACCTGTAACTTGGTCTGGTGTTGTCTCCATGAAGATAGAAAGGTTTAATATCACACTGGGAAACATTCCAGACAAAGTAATAACATCTCCATGGAGAAAAACATTTGACGGACCCTCCAACATCAAGTGTGTTGTCGTTTTGGTTAGGAAAGTTGTATTAAAAAATGAAAACCAGATACTAATTTATACTAAAACTAGTATCGAAAATAGTTGGATCAATTCTGAAGAAAATTACTTAAATAAAAACAAAGTTGGACCATTTCTGAGTAGCTCTAGAATAGCAAATGATCTCTGTAAGAACAAGTTAAGGCCATAAGTTAATATTAAAGAAAGATTGTATCTCACCAGTTCCTTAGTAACAAAATTACATCTGACCTTTTGGTATCAGATTGTGGGCTGAAACAGGAAAGGCTTACAGTCTCTGTAGTTCTCCCTCCATGTCTTCCAGTTATTTTTACATATTTAAACCCAGGAACTTCCTCATGGATATTGCATAAGTTAATGATCAGTGGGTTGCAGTATGATGCCAACATTGCCAAACATCCCTCGCCTGACCAGCCAGTCCCTTCTGCATTCAGTTTGTCCACAGAAAGGTCTGGAACTGGAGCACAGAGCGTTAAAATCCTCTGTACAAACTTAAGATGATTGAACCACAGCTGCTAATTTCTATCAAAATTTCTCGTAACATTTCAGAACTATATATAAATAATTGGACCTGAGATAAGTAATAGTTTGGTGCTTCGATTGTTGATTCTGTAAAAATCAAAATTTTTCCTTTTTTTTCCCCTGACAAGATCTTAGAGTGAATCATTAAAGTCAGAATAGACAGAATTCAGATTTAAAAGTGCTGCTCAAGTCTTCCTAAGTCGCAGGCCTCAAGCCAAAGTCCCAAATCATTGACCTTCAAGTCCAAGTCGAGTCCCAAGTCTTAGTCCATTTTATCAACTCAAGTCTCAAGTCCTAAAAATAGTAACTCAAGTCTGACTCGAATCCAAGTCACGATTTGCAAGTCCACACCACTGTTGGAGGGCCCTCTACTTGCTTGTCTCCATGGAGATGTTACTGATTTGTCTGTAATGTTTCACAGTGTGGTATTAGACCTTACTCTCTTGATGGAGACCAAAACAGACCCAAGTTACAGGTCAGATCTGTGGAGAGGCAACGCCATTTCTTTGCATGAAATGTTCCACAATACCAGATTAAACATATTTATTTTGCATTTATTCAATTACAGATGTTTTTAGCTCAAAAATACCTTGAAAAACAAAACTTCTTACTTTGTGCATGCTTGCTTCTCCATAGATCTGACCATTAACCTGTTTCCATTGCGATAACCAAGTTTATTTCCATACTGTGAAATAATAATAGTAATAATAAAAATAATAATACCCCAAGTCCCAAGTCTTAGTCCATTTTATCAAGTAAAGTCTCAAGTCCGACTCGAGTCCAAGCCGCGACATGCAAGTCCCCACCTCTGCTGTATAGCGTACAGTGTATATTGTCTTCTCCCTGCACACTGGTCTGGCTCTGCTCTCTGTCAGACTCACGTGCCCCCTCACCGCTCATGTTACCAGTGTAGTTTTGGCAGGTCCGGTGTGGAGGAGATGCATGAGCCCGTGTTGGGACAGTGCAGCCAGCCTTTGTTTTGTGGCCCACCACCAGATCCCCGGAGCTGTGCTTTCAGGCCAGAACAATACCTCTTTGTTGTGTGATCGTACAGCGCTGCAGCTCAGCCCAAAGCAGAGGCAGTGAAACCACGCGGGAGAGGCCTGGCATCCGTGGGGTCCAGCGTGATGAAAAATTAGGGCTGTTGTCATGGCAATTAAGTCTGTTTATTTATGAATGAATGAGGGCAGTGCTTATGAATGTATGTGACAACAAGCGGCTTCAACACAAAATCGAATCAGTCCTAAAGCAGGTTAAAGGGCCCATGTATCTATTTTCTGATCTATGTTATTATGTTTTCTCATCACAAACAGACCTGGAATTGTGTTTTGTTTTATTCACACATGTTTAATACACAAACTCTGTGGGTGGAGTTCTTCTCTCAAATAGAAAACACAAGGCTGAACAAACTCTGTGCACCTTCACTTGAATCATTTGGATGATTTCAGACCTGGACATGCCCATTTCTACTGAACAAAAGGTTAAAGGTAGCTGTTTCATCGCTTCATGACATCACAAGGTGGAGCAGAGCATTTGGAGCTTTGCAGATGTACACAGACTAATAATAAAATCTTACTCAGACATGTGTGAATGAAACAAAACACAATTCTGAGTATGTTTTTGATAAGATAAGAACATTATAAAAGCGAAAAAAAGCAGAGCAGACTCAGATGGCCGATGTCCAAAAGCTTTTTTATTTATAAATAACATTAACGGCGAAACGTAATTTAAAAATAAAAAGGCTTTTGGACATCGGCCATCTGAGTGCACTATGCATTTTTTCACTTTTGTCTTGCTGCTCCTTGCATTTGCACCTCTACAGGAATTTTGGTGTGCGTTTTCTGTTTCTTTTGAAGATAAGAACATTATAACATGGCTTAAAACTCACAAGAATCAATTCTGTGTAATGTAAGACCTTCAAAAATGAAACATAACAAACAAAAGACACATGAGTACACATCTGAGACACTGCAACCAAAATGTCCTCTCTTTTGAATGGTAATACGTTCTCAAAATGTCACCACAAAAGGACACTGAAACCCATGAATAGACTACAAAGAGAGAGTCAGCGATACCTGGTTGGAATGAAGTTGGGGTATCATGCAGGAGCACGTCTCTGGAACAGGGTGGGGACGGTGAAGTTGTGCCAGAGACATTGTGCTACTGTGGTTTCTGGAATTTGCATAATGTGAAAAGTCTAGAACACAATATGCCAAAGCAAACTCCAAAGTAAATATTGAGAAATAAAATCAAACGCAAACATGACTGAAATCTTACACAAAATGGATTCTTGTGAGATTTAAGCCTTGTTATAATGTTGATACTTCCTCAAAAACTGACCTGGAGTTGTGTTTTGTTTCATTCACACAAGTCTGAGTAATTAGCTTGCATAATTAGTCTGTCTACATGGCCAAAGCTCAACATGCTCTGTTCCACCTTGTGATGTCATGAAGCTGTAGTTTTGAAGGCAAGGCAAGTTTATTTGTATAACACAATTCGTACACTAAGTAATTCAATTGTGCTTTACAGAAAAAGAAATACATTAAAATCACAATAAAAACAAATCAAAACATAAATAATCATCATAAAATTAAAGAATTAAAATTAAAAAAGAGAGAGAGAAGAGTGTGGAATGAAAACCTTTCAGTCGTATGCACAGTTAAACAGAACCGTTTTGGGCTTTTTCAAGTTAATAGCTACATTTTGCTTTTTTTTCCAGTAGAGATTGACAATTCCAGGGCTGAAATTATCCAAATTACCTCATGACATCGCAAGGTGGAACAGAGCTTTTCCAGTTTAAGAGAAGAACTGACTCTAAATGCGCAGGATTTGTGTGTTAAACATGTGTAAATGAAACAAAACACAACTCCTGGTATGTTTTTGATGATGAAACAACATTATAACAGATCAGAACAGAGTGTAATATGGGGCCTTTAATGACTGTCTTTTGTCATAACTCTTAAGAGAAACTGTGGTAAAAGATGTGGTGAGCGAAGAACATTACAACATAACATGATGATCACACACTCGACGGTCATATGAATCTGTGGCTGTCACAAGATCGACTCCCATGTGTCTGAAGCGTTTCGCAGAATAACAGAATCAGACTGGACGCAACAAACAGGTATGAGGTCACAGACAGTGTTGTTGTCTACAAAGAAATGCATGTAATTGTCCGTAACAATAGAGCTATGTTATGAA